ATTGTTGATGATAGGACGATCAAGGTCGAGAGGGCTCATCGGGATTGTACTCTTCAGTTGTTCAGCTAGCAGTATCTAGTATATTTGGTTCCCATCCTTTGTGTGGGAAGAAGGTTATCATGGGCATGGATTAGTTGAGCCCTAATGGGGCAGTGATCGAATGTGAGCAACAATTGGTTCAGGTTTGGACCCCAAGTGGGGGAGAGTTGGTGATTCAGGATGAGAGAACGCAACATGGGCCGACCATGTGTTCTACAGCGCGGGCCGGACGCTACCTTCATCACGGTTGTGCAGGTTTTGTCGTTTATGTCATGGTTACCCGGTATAAGGGTAAGGCGACAGTTGATGATGTGATGATTGTACGAGAGTATTCAGATGTGTTCCCGAAGGATTTTCCTCGGGTACCTCCAGAGAAGCAGGTGGAGTTCAGGATCGATTTGATTCCACGTGCGGCTCTGATAGCCAAAACACTGTATCGGTTGGCTCCTCCCAAGATACAGGATTTGTCTACACAACTGCAGGAGTTGTTAGAAAAAGGATTTATTAGACCGAGCAGTTCACCTTAGGGATCCCCGGTTTTGTTTGTGAAGAAGAACGATAGATCTTATCGGATGTGTATCGACTACCGGGAGTTGAATAAGGTAACAGTGAAGAATCGTTATCCACTCCCGAGGATTGATGATCTTTTCGATCAACTTCAGGGTGCATCTTGGTTCTCCAAGATTGATCTGCTATCGGGTTATCATCAGATGCGAGTCAGGGACGATGATGTGCAGAAGACAACTTTCCGGATACGCTATGGCCTTTATGAGTTCGTGGTGATGCCATTTCGGCTCACGAATGCTTCTACCGCGTTTATGGACCTCATGAACCGCGTGTGCAGACCTATGCTGGATCGGTCTGTAATAGTCTTTATTTATGGTATCTTGGTCTATTCCAAGACACAAGAGCAGTATGAGGAGCACTTGAGGAAGTTGTTAGAAACAATAAATTTCATGATATCCCAATAAGATGGGTTATTGCCCAAGAACACATGTCTTATACTTACTTTCATGATTTCGAATGTTGACTTTTCATGTGCTATTATACTTTATGCTATATGACTCCTATATGTATCATGTGTGCATAGATGAAAATTGTTTTAAATGAGTTTTGTAAAAATAACGGAAAGCTTAATATTTTACATTTGTTTTTCATCATAAAGTTATGCATTTACTTAGGGTGGGATGTTAACTTATGCTACGAAACAATGGGCTGGGATATCCACATAACCCTGAAAAATAATATAGTGATCTATGCAGTTATCGCGGTCAAAATTTCAATAACGGTCACATGCCGCTATTTGAGATTGCGGTTATTGTGGTGGTATAATGGTGATATAGCGGTTTTTAATATTACTTATAATTTATAATTTAATATTATATTTTGTATAGAATTTATATATTTGAGTATTAATACTATAAGTCTATAGAGAATTTCTATCATCAAACCTAAAAAGTCATATAAAAACATAAAATAATATTCTATTATAGTAATATGGAAACTAGGTAGTCTTAAAGTGTCAAAGAGAGTTTAATTGCATTGCAGGTGTTTAATATCGTATTAGTAGGTAGTGGTTGATTTAAGGAGTTAAGTCTCAAGTTGTAACATCTTAGGTGTGGGTTGATTTACAAATATATATATATATATATATATATATATATATATATATATATATATATATATATATATGTATATATATATAATGGTGTCCGACCATAGCAGTTCAATTCTTTGTGAGTACAAAAAGAGATGAGAAAGAGAGTTGTCGATAGACGTAGTTGTTTGAATGTTTTTAATAATGATAGTTGTTAGAGTTTTTTTAAAATGAAAGTGTAGTTATATCATTAAAAATAGTTTTTCATCGACAAAGTAACAAAATGGCCCAAAATATGAACGAATATGGAATAACGCCCGTAGTGCCGCTATAGCGGTTATTGAAATAGTGGTGAATAGCGCCGCTACTAGCGGTACCGAGAAATGAATACGCTAAACTAAAAATGACGGTTCTTGACCTCCGCAAAACACTATAGCACCGCTATAGTGCGCAATTGATAGCTTAGATAGTGATATGGTGATATTTTAGACATTCCTCGTTCACAAAAGAGGCTAGTTACCTCATATGTAGATCTTATGTAATGTACTATTGGCCAAATACTCCTAGGTACGACTCTATTGTTTACCTATGTGCTTTCAATACATACAACAAAGGCAAGGACTAGATGTTATACTATGCTAATCTTAAATGCTTCTCTTCCCCCAACTGCTTATATAATTAATGCTAATCTTATATGCTTCCCTTCCCCACTTGTTAGTTTCCTAAAACTTCATGATAATGGTTTGGAATACTTTTGTGGTTCGTATTATCCAAAAGACATACAAATATTAGGTCTCCCAAGCCTAATCTATATATTTTTGACATGTATTAAGATTAGATCATCGTGAAGAAAGATGATAGATGAAAACAAAAATATTTCAAAAGTGATGTCTATGTAGTGGTTTCACTTTTTACTTATATTTTGATAATGGTACATCCTTATATAACTAAAATTTAACACTTTAAATTATTTAAAACTTACCTCTTTAAAATGTTTAAGTTGAAATATTAGGACCTTTTATTCATAATTCATGCTTAAATATTTTAGAAAATAATTATGAAATTGATTAAATAGTTTAGTTGTGTTTCACATTGTAACAGTGAAAGATGTGATGCGGATAATAATAATATTGCCATATCCAAATTTTCAAAAGACAAAGCACATTAAGATTGACGTCATTACATTACTTATCATCTTTAATATTAAAGAATCAAATTGATTCATATATTCCTTCCTATCTACAAATTGTTGCTATTTTTGTCGAGGCATAATAATCATGTTACATTAGTTATCATCTTTAATATTGAAGAATCAAGTTGCTTAATATTCCTTCCTATCCGCAAATTGTTGCTATTCATTCTTACACAAGAATGATGTTGCCTCGCATTCCTTCCTCTCAGCAAATTGTTGCTATTTTTATCCCAAGAAACATTTGCTGTCGCGCTTTCTTTTCTTAATTATCACTATAAGTTTTATGATCTATTTAGCTTAAGGGTAGAATAATTTTATTTATTTTGGTTGTTCCTTATTCTTTGATCAATTAATTGCAAGACACTTCGCAAATAATAAACCGGTTTTGGATGTTATTAACATCAACGTGAGACTATAAAGATCCAAAAATATATGGAGGGTTAACTCGATTACAATAAGAGAGACTTATGATACGTCTAATATTTAGAGAGTTATTTATTTATTTATTTTATAAATAGGGTTCTTTTCAAAACTATTTATAAAAAGGGTTCATTCAAAAATGACAATTTGTATGAGTTGCTAATTACATAAATGGACCTTATACATTATTAAAATTCTTAGTTTTATATATATTATACAACTTTTCGATTACACATTTACTTTTTATATTCAAATTTCATTTTCTATCTTTACCAACTTTATACATAATATTTTATTTTATTATAAATATATTATTAATATAATATTTTTAAATATAAATATATTATTAAGTTTTATACATAGATCTTATTAATTTATACAACTAAAAATACATCATTAACATCTTCAATCAATAACAAAATTATGTATTACTAAAACTATATAATAAATAAAACATATATTTCACATCATATTTATAACATTAAGAAATCAAAAACCAATTCAATATTAAATTATAAAATCAAATAAACATAAACTTACAAGATCACCAAAATTAAAATTAGTAGATCAATAACATTGCTTACATTAAACCTTGGTTGAGAATTTTGGACAACTTTTTCGATTATGACCTATTTGGTGGAACACTTTCATACACTTTAAATTCTCTATTTTGGTTGATAGGCCAAAGTGTTAATGCCCTTTTCACTTGGAACTTATTTTCAAATTGCATTCCTAGCTAAATTTTGTTTTCGGATTTTTTTCCAAATAAACATAAAGTTACAATATCACTAAACTAGACATTACTAGATCAATAAAATACATTGCTTACATCAAACCTTGGTTGAGAATTTGGAAAACTTTTTCGATTATGACCTAGTTGGTGGAACACCATCGTACACTTTAAACTCTCTATTTTGCTTAATAGACCAAAGTGTTGATGCCCTTTTCACTTGCAACACTACTAGAAAAACAGCCTTTTACGACGCTCATTGCGCGTCGTAAAAGGCTCAGACGACGCGCAAATGCGCGTCAAGGAAGGCCCTGTCATAAAGAGAGCCGACGCGCTTTTACGACGCTCATTTACGATGCGCAATTAAGACGCGCGTTTATGACACGCAATGCGTATCAAGGAATGCCCTGTTATAAAGGAAGACGACACGCGTTCGCGTGTCGTAACCTTACGACGCGCGTGTTAATGACACGCAATGCGTATCAAGAAATGCCATGTCATAAATGAAGATGACACACATTTTTGCGTATCATAAATTTAAATGTTTAAAAAATAAATTTATATATTTATTAATTTTTAAATTAAATTTGCATTTAATTTCTGATAATAGAAATAAAACACCATATACAAAAAATACAATCCATTGCACAAAAATTAATGTCATACAAGATACAAAATAAAATACAATAAATAAGTAAGATAATTCATTGCATAAAATGTCAAATACAAATAATCATCGGTAACTATATAACCTAATACTACATTGCTATTAAGGGATATCATCATAACTCACTGAAGGTCTTGGAACAATATTCTCATCATCAACTCTTACACCAACCTTGCTTTAGTAGATGACTTTCACACAATCAATATTGACATAGATGCTGCCCGAACTTTCCGAGTTCAAACTTCCATTGTTTGCTTCATCTCTGCTAACCTCTTTCTGCTTCAAGAACACAAAAGAAAATGAAACCATGAAAATATCACATGAAATTTAATACCCTCATAAAATGATATTAGGATTAAGGGAGTTGAAGGTACTTGTATTCTTCGAGGAAACAACTATCATCAAGATCATCTTCTAAATCTTTGAGTTCTTCTGTCTTGTTATCGATCTGAGATTTGGTTTTAGGTTTGGAATCTTCGTCTTCTGCAGGAGTGAAGGGATCGGGTTTGGGAGGTAAGTTCCTGAGTTTTCTTTGAATATCATCCCATTGAGTTGATACTCCTTCAACATCTTTGTAGACAAAGTGAAGACCGGCTTTATCACTTGGCTCCCAAGATCTCTACATGCATAAGGAATAATGGGTATTAAGACTTAAGAGATTACATAATAAAAGTTATAGAATCTGAATTACAATATAGATCATACCTTCATATATCTTTCCTGCCCATCAAAAGCCATTTGTAGTTTCAGCTGATTTCTGGTAGAAGCTAGGATTTAAAAAAAGCAATTAAGTTAGCTTTATCAAATTTAATACATGAATTTGGTAACTTTTTAAGGAAATTGATAAAATAGTAAGAACATGTGTCTCCAAAGAGCCAAAACCTCCTTCAGAATCAAGAATGTTGATTAGCCCTTCCAATCCTCCCATGATTGACTCAATGAGCGACTCAACATATAAAACTGCATCTCGACCAATTCTAGTTAACTGCATCAACCAATCAATATTCAGTAAATTTCCCTTCAAAAGATAAAATAAAATTTACATATAAAATTTAGAGTAAGTTACACTTTCGGTCCCTGTTCCAAGTAAAGTTGGGAACAAGAACCAAAAATGTTACAAGCCTTCTTTTCCAGTAGACCATTCCCTTCAGATAACAAGCCTTCTTTTCCAGTAGACACTGTTGCTTTCTCCAAATGTCTTATGTTAATTGAAGATCGTGCAGAAGTAACAATCATTAAAATTGATAACCAATCTTTACATAATTCCTGTTTATGTAATTTTTTTATACATTATATACATGAGTATAAATATAAATAAATAAAACAAAACCATGTCGCATATTTGAATGGATTAAAATTAAAGATTATACTTACTGATAAATCACATGTAATTGCAGAGATATTTCCACCCTGTGGTTTTGGAATATTTTCAAGATGGTAATTTTTTTTTGGAAAAGCCCTTTTAGAGTGGTGTCCAGGTCAAGAGCATGATATTAACTGCATTGTCAACTGTCATTCCAGGTATAACCTTCATCAACACTTGCACAACATATTCCCTCTTGTTGTAGTTGTCATTGTGTAGCATCACTCTATATGGTGGTGCCATTTTCCTTGATTTCCTTAAAAAAAAAGGTAAATCGACCTAACCTTTTACTATATGCATTTCAAACTTCATTAAAAGTGATACAATACCTCAAGTCAAACTCAGACTCTCTTCCAGGAGTTGTTTTCTCTATAACTGGCTTATTTAACACCCCATCACCCTTTTCTAGCCTTGGAGGCACCATTGTCATAACTGTTATCCATTTTGTGCTTTGTTTATGAAGCATGTATTTGTCCCCTGTGTATGGTAGAGTAATCCGTTTATGACAATTATTTCTTAGAGCAAAGTAACAATTCTGATAACAAATAGAAATGTTCAGATGTCTGTGAAGTAAAAAGAAAGATTCTTGGTTAAGATTCAGCATGCTAGGTGTATTTAGTAAAAACCGGACGCGGACCGCTGAAGATGACGGGTAGGATAAACCATACCCTCTCACAGCTGTAAAAACATTGTGTAAATATTTAAACCCAAGCCTCAAGGATAAAAAGGTAATTAAACAGTTTATACCCTCACCTACAATGTATTTGTGGGATCATTTTCATTCTACACGTGTTGACAAGTCAAACTTGTTAATTAATATTATATATATATATATATATATATATATATATATATATATATATATATATATATATATATATATATATAGAAGAAGTAATATCTGCCCCCACCTATTCACAGAAGCTCTCTCTATGCATCATAAAAGTCACATGGACTGCCATAATATGGTCTTTTGCACCCATCCTCACAAAGATACGATCAACGGGGAGACATCTTAAAGATTTGAGCAGGCACATCTGCCCCCACCTGGAACATCCATCCATAACTAACTGTATGAATATTGAAAATAATACCTAATTGTATGAACATCCATCCATAACTAACTGGAGATCCTGTTTCAATATCAATTGCAAGAATAGAACAATCTGGAGAACCAGTGAGGATCACTGATGACAAAAACACACATTCAAAATCAAGTTTAAAGAAACAACAACTATGTTGCTACTGAGGGTAAAAAGTAAATTACATGGTTCAAGAGTATATAAAGTATAAACAATGTTGGTTCATTACCAAGTCCTTCATTGATAAATCTAACAGCTCTACAAGATTCATTGTGTGCACGAACTTTCAACACCCTGAAATGATAGTTTTTAGAGTAATCACATTATAAGAACGGTTTTTAATGACGAAATTACCCCTAAAAATGTTATCTAACAAAATGAGAGTCAACTACCTCATGGTGAGCGTATTCTTCAAGTGTATCTTTCCTGAAAGATGAAAGCCTGGAAGAAGCTTCAGCAGCAGTAGTTGCAGTTGCAAGCATATCCTGGGCTTCCTTGTGCCTTCTCTCTTTTCTCCTCTATTTCTTGACTTCTCTAAGCTCAGAAAGATATTGGCTCACCAACACAGCATCCCAGTTTCATTTTCGTAGTGTCTCAATCTCTTCTAGAAGAACCTTGATCACCTTTGAAATCAAATCATCTAAAACAATAAATAAAAAAAACATCACAAAGTAAAACATCCAACCTTCTTATTTTGATACTTAGTAAGTTGCAATGATTAAATTTTCAAACTTACATGGTATCAAGGATGTCATTCATAGGAATTAAACAATCATTGTTCCCAAGATTGGAATTCACCCTGGTATCACACTTAGATTCTAGAGCCTCAGTTTGACCACTGTCAGAATTATTGACCAACAGATCAGAAGCAGGACAGGATTCTATTGATATCTACAAGAAAAAAAAACTTAAAGTTATTGTTAGATTCTCAAAGCCACCAATCTATAATCATCAATATACAATCACAAAGTTGATTATGTGACAACCTTTTCCATAGAATCAGGAGAAGACTGCCCCTGCTTATCTACAATGAAAGATTTATAATTTGGCTACACTTAAAATCCTTTCCTTCTCCACTTTTTCCTCTTTTTTCCTAGAATCCACACTCTCTTTCCCATTATGCCCCTGCTTATCTACAATGAAAGATTTATTATTTGCAGCAACAAACTCCTGTTTCTTTTGATGATTCCATTGACTAACACTCCCCCTATTCCAATTCCCACTATGACTTCTGTTATTCCAACCTTTATTACCCTTATTAACACTATTATAGCTTCCTCTTTTGTTATTCCCTCCATTCCAATTATTACCTTTGCTTCCAGAAACATTGGGATGAATATCATCTGTACCGTACCCCTTCACAGTAGCAGTCCCTGCATTTCCAGCTTTTTTTGTGACCATAGTGAACCCCTCACCATCTTTATCAATCACATCCTGAATATCACTCTTGACAACCTACCATTATTCCAACAGTAACAACTATGGCTGGATAATTCTAAGCTTTTACCTATTCAAAATAGACACCCATCAGTAATTAACTTCAACATTTTCATTTGATGATCTGTCAGATGGATTTATGTCAGTTAAACTGAAACAAGATACATTGGCACTCACATTGTCAACTGGTGAATATGATTTCATGTAAAAGTAGAACTCTTCTTTCCGAGGATCACCCCATTCCTGCAATAGAGCAAGACATTCACATTTAGAAAGAAACATACTAATATTATCATAGCATCCTGCTTTGAGTTTCCAAAACAAAAAAATATTATATATAAATCACCTCCCATTCTGCAGTTGTAAGAGGAATAGTTGGACCAAGCATTGTAGTCACAACATCTACAAATGGTACTCCAGCTACAGTAGCCTTAAATAAATCAGGTCTCATGTTCACAACAGCACCAATAAGCAACCCCCCTGCACTTCTTCCATTAATGGACAACTTTTCTTTCGTACAATATTTCTTTTGGTCTGAGAAGTTTGAGTTTCACCTATGTCGTTGGGTGATTGAAGGCAATGAGGCTGCGTTTTTTTCTTAGAGAGAGGGAGGGCAAGAAAGTAAACACAAACCTCACAGATTAGAGAGGTTATCAAAACCAGTAAGGGGAACACCAATGAAAAGTCCAACGGATTATTGAGAGAAAAACTGATTTTTGTTTGTTTAAAAGCTAGCGAAGTATCAAGAAAATTCCAATCCATGAGAATTCAGAAAGCAGATAGATAGGTACCTGATTTGACTAGAAGCGCAACTGGACTAGGGTTTGTAAATTTAAGGAGTCGTTGTAGATGGAGTAGGGTAGAGGTGAAGAGGAGTTCAGCTACGAATTTTGTGTTAAGATTATTGTGTCTAAATTTCTCCATAAAGAGACGATCGAGAGAGAATGGTCTTCGATTTTTTGAAGGAAGCGAGGCTGTTACAGAGAGGGGGGATCAGACTCACATAGAGATCTAAGGAGAGAATGATCGGTCTTTGATCCGATCGAGAGAGAATCATCACCATAAGGATACGATCGAGGAAAATCTTCTTGAGAGGGGAAATTATTTGGGAAGAACTTGAAGCATTTGAAACCCTAGACCTTGATTCGATGTAACTTGACAGTGGACATTGTAGATTGATAGATTGAAGACCTGGAGCGATCCCTTGTGAAGAAAGCTGCACAATTACAGAGAGTCCTTGTTGACCGGATCCAAAGATTCCGTCAATGGCTTTATCGGGTTTGGTTAAATCCCCAGTTTGGAATGTGCTACATCTGGTTCATGAACTTGCCAAGTCAATTAGGGTTTTTTTTAATGAAAAATGAAAGGGGTTAATGGATTAGGATGATGTTGTACCTGAGAAAACAAAGAAAAAGAAAGAGACCTCGCAGATCAATTACGATTCACCTTCGAGGTTTACAGAGAGACGGGAGGTAGAGAATGAAGGGAGATCTAGAGGAGAGAGTATCAGAGAGGGGAGAGTGGATTGCAAGGATGAAAAATAGATAGAAGATAGAAAAAACAAGGCGGGTTTTCAAAATTTTGGGGATTTCGTTTCCCACTTCATTAACTAAAACCGCGTTTCATTAAAATTATAAAGCAACATGTACAGACGACGTGCGTTTAAGATAAAGCGCCCTCCGTGTTTCTAATTTTTTTTCTTGAGACACTAAATTAAGGGCACGCAATAATGCATGACGTAAATCCTTAAATTTTTTGGAGAGATAACACTATTTTAAGGGCACGTCCTATTGCGTATCGTTAATCAGCGCGTGTCGTAAAAAGCGCGTCATTAAAGGTCTATTTTCTAGTAGTGCAACTTACTTTCAAATTGCATTCCTAACCTAATTTTGTTTTCGAATTCCTTCCAAAAATCTATATGAGTGTTGTCCTTTAAATCTTCTATATCATCATCCCGTATATTTCCAACATTCATAAAGTTCACAACCGAAGTGTCACTTGCGTCATCAGAATCAACCCAAATATTGCTTAATGGCTCACTACTACACTCTGAGTTGGGCTCATCAAATCCAAAATCATTATTTGTCTCACATCTATCATCATCATTAGGCAAAGGAAATGATGCTGTAAAAGAAATTTTTACAATTTCAAAATAAATGAATAATCCAAAATAATCAAAAGAAATTTTATAGATCTACAAAATGCAATTTTGGATACTTCAAAATAATTTAATAATCCAAAATTGTCCTTTAAGTCTTCTATGTCACATCTATCATCATCTTTAGGCGGAAATGGTGCTTGACAATTTTGGATATTTTATTATATACTTATTTATTTTATTTCTACTTTTAATAAGATATCCATATAACTATTTAATATATATAATTTTAATAATATTTAATATTGATATTGATTAAAAGTAAATTTTTAATTTTAAATCGTAGAAATTATGAACTATATATAATAACATATTCATAATAAAAGTAATATATATAAATCAAGATGAAAGTGAAAATATAAAATATAAAAAATAAATATATACCTGGAAATGATAATTACAGCCACATATAATATAACTTAAATGTAAACTAATGACATGCAACATTTAAAAACATTAATTGTTATGTATGATTTTTTTTTTTTTTTTTTTTTTTTTTTTTTTTTTTTTTTTTTATTTTTAGAATCCAATTTGAAAGTCTAAAAAAAATAAATAAAAAAAAAAATCTTATTTAGAACCTTATATATAAAGTCCTACTTGACATTTTTCATCAAAACGGATCACAAACAAAAACCTTTTTAATTAGCAAATAAACATTTTCTTGGATGGATATCAGCTCAAGCAAGACCAATGAAAGATGGGAATTAAGGCCATCTCCAATGGTAGTTTAAGGTAGTTTAATGGAAAGTTTAATCTTATTAAACTCAAAATCCCTATTATGGGGTTAATGACATGACACTCAATAGAATAGAACCTTTAATCCCCATTGAACTCCACACTCTCTCTCCTTACACACATACAGATGTGGCAATCCATTAAATTGTATTGGGTTTAATGAAGTGTAGAGTTTACTAGATAAAATTTTATTGTGAGTGGCATGTAGATATGACAATCTATTGAACAATTGAACTTATTTGAGTTCAATGCATTGAAGATGGTCTAACAAAACTTAATAGCATGAGAATGTAACCTTACTTTTAATGAGTCATATATAGCATTATATATACTAATATACACATAATAGCATTAAAGATCTAAACTTAACCATATTACGCAGAAACTTCATATCTTCATTCAAACAAGATATAACTAATTAAAAAGCAACACTGGGAGATCCATACTAAACAAAGAAAATATTCAAATGAAAAACCCTAGAATTCTAGAATATCCCAGTCAAAAGATTAGCAGCCGTGGATATAGCTGCACCTGTGATGGCAGCATGCACAATCTGTTCATGAGAAGAATCATCAAACGTTAATGATAAAGCTGCACCAGTGATCGCTCCTGCCATCGCACTGTTTTTCTGCATCAAAAACAAACAACCTCTTACCGAAAGTACCCATCAAGACTATATCAAAACATGCTCATATGGAAGTTCTTTTTAATCATAATTACCCAATCATGAACTCCTCGAGCTTCTTTTAATCCATATGTAACGCCTGAATACATCCCAGCAGCAAGACCTGAGGTGTTAAACTTCAATTGTTAGCATACGCGTAGTTCTATATATAGTTCTCATGATAGGGGATGATGATCAATGAGTTTACCCCATTGCAGAGACTCTTTCCCTGTGCTTTTAACCTGAAAACATCCAAATACATAAAAAATCAAGAAGTTAATTACTATGCTAGAATTAAGAACACATGGATAGTAATATAGTAATTTGTAGCAACGAACATACCAACGCTTCAACAGATTTCTTGTTGGTTTCTCCTGCAAATTAATGAAGGTGAAATAATCAGTAAAACATTATGACCCTCGTCTTATGACATGCATGCTCCATAGTTGTAGCAAGATTTGAGTTGTTCGTACGTACCTTTGAGTTCCGACAAGTGATGTTTCCTCTGGGTAGCAGGGAAGGAGGTCGAATTTCCATCTGCAAAAGATTATATAAACTCTAAATCAAGAACCATGTTATATATATATCCTCAAATTTCGATGTAACAGAGAGATGAGTTCATGTCTGCTTTCAAAGTTCGATTTAGTAAGGATACATTAGCATCTTGTATGACTGAGAACAGATCAATAACTTGAAGATCAGGCACTAATGGTAAGCAATTCATAAGTGTAATAAGAGTTTAGGATTACCTTCGGTTACAGTGAAATATGCCTCCCGTGACACTGCCTGGACTGCTCCAATCTGTACACAACAGTTCGATTAATGAATCTCAACCTGATGATCACTGTGTGTGTGTGTGTGTGTGTGAGAGAGAGAGAGAGAGAGAGAGAGAGAGAGAGAGAGAGAGGCGTACACCGGCGGCCTTGATGAAGCTGTCGGCCATACGATTGAGAAGAGGATGACCTAAATCGAAGAAACCTCCATTCCTATCGAAGCTTCTAATTTCATCCATCAACGATCGAGTCTCCAAGTTGTGGCCCATTGTCGAACTGTTGTGTGTAGCGTGCAGAGAGAGAGAGAGAGAGAGAGAGAGTTGCAGAGCTTACAAATTTCTATGAAAATGGCGAAGTGGAAGGAGGAAGGAGAAGAAAGAGGTGTGAGATGACACGTGTGTCATTATTATTTCAGACGTGTCATTACTGAGGGACTAGAAGCCGATGGTGTTGGCGATTAACCGGATCCTGCCTACACGTGTTTGAGAGTGTTGCTACTTGATTGGACTATCTGATGGATGGTATAAACCGGAACCGATCCAAACTTTATTGATACCGAAAATAGATGAAACTCTTGTAGGGTTTTGGATTTTATTCTGCAAAGTTTTTTAGCTAATTTAATTAAATAAATTTAAAACTAATAAACCTATTAGTATCCATATTAAATTTTATAGAGTTTAATAGAATTTTATGTAATTTTTTGATATTTCTATATAACTTTTTTATAATGTATTGAGTTCTATAAAATCCAATAAAAATTATAAAAGTTAACTTATAATATTTATTTAAAAATTATAAAACTTTTGTTTTTTCATTCAAGAGTCAGGGGTTTGGTAGCCTCTTAATTGAAAAATTAAAAGCAACCTCTTAATTATTCAGATTTAGAGTGTTTGTTAGCAACTTAATTTATGCCTCTTAATCTGTCATGTGCCTCTTAATTTTTCAGATATATAGACAAGTCCGAAATCAAAAAATACACGCTCCTATCCAAGCTTGCCCTTCACTTTTCCCAGTCCCCTCTTCTCTTTCAACACACACGGCGCTGCCTCCCCCACTGCATCTCCGAACTGCAACCAGATGATTGGCCCTTCCACCATCAGCCGGCCACCACTCCTCCAGCGATCTCTCCTCCGCCTTTGCCTTCGTCGGTGACGTTGCCTCCGCAACTACCGCCATCGCCGAAGTGAAGCCCTACAGGTCTCTCGTCAACAACACAAGTAACTGTTTTCTTTCCCTATAACTCGATTATTTTCATTGGAATATTTGTGATGTTGGTAGAAATCAGATTCTTTTCTTGAAATCATATGCTTTACCCTTAATGTTCGTAAAATTTCTTACCTAGCTGTCTCTGTTAACGACTTTACTGCTTAATTGAGATGAAGAAACTATTGAAGATAACTATGAGTATGTGAAATCAGACCTTAAAATTGGGTTAATGAATTTTCTGATTGATTTAACTTTGAATTTTCGTATTTTTTTTTTGTCTTTATTTCAAGTTTTTGATTTTTTGCAACTCTTGAAGGAATTTGGAAACTATGAAGTGATTATGTAACATTTTGCTCCTCCTTTAGTATTTCAATTTTCTTTCCAAAAGCTGTTAAAATACTCACGTGATTTGTCAAATCCTAATTGCATATTCAATCACTAAACAACAAGCTGAAATTGATGGAAAGGCATGTGCAGTTGTTAGACAAAATGGAAAGGGATGCCATCACACTTTCATCCCAAGAAATCAACTCAAGTGCAGCTAGTACATTTAGCAGCTTATATTTTGTCACGATTTTTGTTTAGTTAAACCTGAAATTACTGTATTTATGTTTGATTTTGATCATTGTGTAACTTTGTTTTATGTTTGGTTTACATTTTATATGTTGTTTAAACTTTTTTTTTTGTAATAATCAAGGAGCTGTTTTCGTTATTTTTTAAACCAGAAATATTAAATTTAGCAATAGATAATAAAAAAGGGTAAATTTGTCATTTTTATTATTTTGCACAACAATTCAGAGGATTCAACCAAACGACATGTTAAAAATTCAGATCTTAAAAATTCAGACCCTCTTAGAAATTCAGATCTCTTAAAAATTCAGATCCTGCCAAACAGCCCCTTAATGCAAATCTATTAAATGTAAATGTGACGTTTTATAATAATAAATTTTTCTCCGTTGAATGATAAATAGATTTTTCATCATATTCAATTCTCTTATTGATTCAGGATTATAGACGCTCCTAGATTTTTCTTTTTCGTAACAACCAACCAAATTTTATAAACGATAATCTAGCAAGAAACTGAAGCAAAAAAGATTAACAAATTGTTTACTGGATATTGCAAGTAGCAATTCCATTTGATAGAGTACTTTCTATTTCTATTACTAAACTAAAGAAAAGAAAATTCACCTATGGATTAAATAATCTCATCTTTCCTGCATCAAACATTTTGTGATTATGAAACCTCCAAATATACGACAAAGTAGTACACACAATCGCATCCATTGCATTCTTCTTTTTGACATCGACCCGCAAAGAATCCAAATAATCGAACAATTGAAGAATAGAATCAAACTGAATGTTTTCTATGCAAAGCCATTTACATCTCATGCTCTTGCTACCACCTCACATCTAATAAACAAATAGATAGTATTGATATTTTCCACTTCAAGAGCTTCTTGACAAACCTATCCTTGATCGGTTTCCACCCTACAATTTTGGACATATTCTGACCTATCAGAAGACCCAAATAAACAAAAGGCAGTTTGTCTGGTTTACAATCCAACAACTATGCAAAGATCACCACATCCTCCCATCTAACTCCAATTCCAAAAAGATTTGATTTTTGTAAACTTATTCGCAACCCAGACACCAAATAATAACATGTTAGGAACGTTAAGATTTGATATGTCAAAACCTGCCAGTCAGCAGTTATTGAAACTGATGGTTACTAGGATTTGTACCCCTAATTACATCAAAAACCTTCATGAAGATTCACTAGTAAATGCAACCCTTAAGTTTGAAGATATATACTTTCCTTATGAGTTACGGATAGTAATGAAGTTTAGACTTAACATATAATAGAATATGGGTGAGCATTTGGACATGTGGACCGGACCGGTGAACCGAACCGTTTTTTGGACCCCCGGGCCCGTTCTCGGTTCTACGATTTGAAGGCGGTCCGATCTGGTTTTTTTACCGGTCTGGTTCGGCCGGTTCCGAGTAAAAACCGGTTTGACCGGCTTATTTATAAAAAAAAAAAAGTTAAATTTTTAAGCAAGCATATCATTTGTTTTAAGTCTGATTAATATGAGGTTTTTTTCAACGTGTAATTTAGAGTTTGTAGATTATTTTAGACTATAATTTTGTTGATTTTGGTGTTATATTCAATGAGTTACAATCAATCAAAGTTGGGATATCAAAGCTGAAATATTTTACCACTTGAGTAATAAATTAAAATTTTGTATTTTGTAAAATTGTTTAAAAAAACATATCTCATTCGTTTTAAGTCGGATTGACATGCGGTTTTTTCCAACGTGTAATTTAGAGTTTTTAGATGATTTTAGACTATAATTTTGTTCTTTTTGGCGTTATATTCAACAAGTTACAACCAATCAAAGTTGGAATATTAAAACAGAAATATTTTAGCTCTTCAACAATATATTTTTTTTATTTTTTAAAATTGTTTAAATAAGCATATCTCATTCATTTTAAGTTGGATTGATATGCAGTTTTTTTCTAACGTGTAATTTAGAGTTTGTAGATGATTTAGACTAAATTTTGTTGTTTTTGATGTTATATTCAATGAGTTATAAGCAATCAAAGCTAGGATATCAAAGCTGAAATATTTCAGTTTTTCAGCAATAAATTAAAATTTTGTATTCTATAAAATTGTTTAAACAAGCATATCTCATTTATTTTTAGTCAGATTGATATGAGGTTATTTTCAACGTATAATTTAGAGTTTGTAGATGATTTAGACTATAATTTTGTTGTATTTGATGTTATGTTCAATGAGTTACAATCAATCAAAGTTAGGATATCAAAGCTAAAATATTTTAGTTTTTCAACAATTATTTTAGACTGTAATTCTGAATTTTAAGTATCTTTTAACAGATAAATCATATGAAAAGGATCTTGATGGAGTACCGAGTCCAAATGGATAACGAGTTACGAACCTATTTGAAAGAGAATATAGTGAATTATCAAAAAGATTTCTCAATTCTTGGTTGGTGGAGAGTAAATGTGATTAGGTTCCCGAAATTTGCTCAGATGGCGAAAGGTGATTACATTTTATTTGTCTTACATAGTTTTTTTATAAGTTAATGTCATTACAATTTAATTCTTTTGTTGTTAGATATATTGGCGGTATAAATCTCAAGTGTGGCGTCCGAGTCTGTGTTTAATTAGCACATGTGGTAGAGTTGTAAGTGAGTATCGGACTAGTTTATCGACGTTGATACTTGAAGCTTTGTTATGAAACAAAGATTGGGTGGGAAAGTATACAAATCCAATAATTGAAAACGTTGACTACATCTTGATGGATGATGATATAGCTTTGAGTAAAAAATTTATATTCGTTCTTTTTTATACAATTATTACGTTTTATTAAATGCTAACAAAATTTTCATTTTGTGTTTATGTAGAGATTACACAAGTTTTAAACATGTTAGATTTAGAGGATAATGTTATGGGGATGAGGCCAATGGAAGATTAGATTATGATGTATGTTAGTTGGATTAATTTTAAAGTTTAAAGTATGATTTTTGGTGTTACGGTAATTACTTTTGTATGTTTGTGTTAAGAACTTAAGATTGTAAAATTTTGTTGGTAAACTTGATATATATGTTAGTTGGTAAACATGTTAGATTTAGATGACAATATATGTATGTTTGTGTTAAATTGTTACCGGTCCAAACGGGTCCAAGAGCCGGAAAACCCGGACCTAGACCCGGACACGACTCATCCGGTTCGGTCCACGGTCAACAATATTCTCTGTAACCGGTCCGATCCAAGAGCCAGTCCAGTTCGATCTAAATGCTCACCCCTATAATAGAAGCCTAAGATCATATCTTAACGTACACGATATATACAAATATGGAAACACAATCCCATACAAAGTAATTTTAATTTAGTTTATAAGGATTTTCTCAATTTTCAAACGGAATTATAATTTGATTTTCAATTTGTTCTAAGTTTTTTAATTTCGTTTGGTTTAGTTTTCGGTTTAGACATAAGATAATTTCAAATCGTGGAAAAAAATCAAAGAAACCTAAGAAACCATAGAATGAATTGATTCTTACCTCTAATTCTAATGCATGATGACTTCTTATAGTCCATAGATAACCCAACATCGTTTTACTCTCTCCTTAGAACCCTTAAATAAAAATGTAACATCCCGAAATATCAAGAGTAGAGTTGAAGGGCTAAAAGAGTAAATTAGGAAAGAGTGACTCGGCGAATCCATGTGTGGACTCGGAGAGTAGAGTCGCGACTTGGTCGCGTGTTAAGTGGCCGACTCGGCGAGTCAGTGTAATGGACTCGGCGAGTAGGCGCTGAGTGGAGAAAACCCTAATTCTCGGGGTTGAGCCTTATATAATGATCATTATGTCTTCCTCCCAGCCTCTTTATCACCCCTTGAGCCCCAGAAAACCCTAAATCACGGAGAAGCACCATTGTTGAGTGGATTGGAGCTTGGAGAAGTAATGGTTGAAGGAATTTTGGGAAGATTGAAGGCTTGGAGCAAGGGGCTTTGCTTGGATTCGAATTGCATTGCAGTTGGGGCATCACTTAGAGGTAATATCTCGTTATTGACCTGTTGTTATGTTGTTTCTTCATTTTGGGGTTTGTAAGAAATTGTCTATGGATGAAATGGGAAATCTAGAGGTTAGATCTGAGGTTGCTACCTCAGATCTGGAAGGGAGAAGAATCAGAGAGCATGAAAGTCCCCATGTTGGAGTGTTTAGTGAAGCTTACATGTTCCAAACCCTAGCCCAATGTGCAAATGGCTTAGATCTCTTTGGATTCACGTAAAGTTTACCACTTTACGTGATGGATGAGTGGTAAGAGACTGGATCTATGTTTTGGAGCAGTTGCATGGCCTGGAATGCTTCGGAATGTATTCAGACCGGTGGTACTCGGCGAGTCACATGGGTGGACTCGACGAGTTGGATGAAGATGGCCTGGAACTCGGCGAGTCTGTTCTTGGACTCGACGAGTCCTGTCGAAGAGTCCCAAATATTCTCTGGTTGAGTCGAGAATCGGTGAGTCGAGGGATGACTCGGTGAGTCGTGTGCGAGTGGACTTAGAGTTGTTGGACTCGGCGAGTCTCGGGGTGACTCGGCGAGTTAGGTCGCAGCTTGAGTGAAGTTCTGATTATGGGAACTCGACGAGTCACAGGGTTGACTCGGCAAGTAGGGTCAGTCAGGGGTTGACTTAGACTGAGGACTTTGGTTTCGACCAAGGGTTGGTTGTTGACTTTTAGGGTTTGGTCAGCGATGTGGCCTTTGGGCCAAGAGAGAGGTAAAATAGTCTTTTACCCATAAGAGGGTGTTATGAGAGGATTTATTCTAGCCTCGAGAGTTATATTCATGAGAGTATTTGCCTTACGTGTTAGGCGGTGGCGAGTTCGAGATTCAAGTGTGGGGATATCTGCTTTCTGCTTGCCAGGTGAGTCTTCTCACTATACTTTACCTTGAGTAGGTAACCAGAGTTATGTGATCAGAGTGTTTGTATGCTTTTTGGAGGATCCTGGTTTTCTATGCAAGTGAAAATGGAGTCATGTTTTGTAAATCGACTATGAATGAGATTTTAAACAAGTGTTTCTAAGAATAAAATGATTGTTTTAAATGAAAATTTTGTCTTGAAATTTACGGTGTTACAAAAAATTTCTTATAGGATTTGTTATCTTCACTGCTTTAAAACATGTTTGGATAAAATATGTATTAACACCCCTATTAAGAATGTTCCTTTCCACTTTTAATATTTGCTACCTCCCAACTCTAAATTTCAAACAATCGTTTGCAGCATCATGTCAAATGATTTTTCGTAGTTAATTTGAGTTCAAAAATAAATACAACACTAAACATTTCATTGTATTTTGTTCAAATAAAACCGATGGAACATGTAGTAATTAGTAACAAAATCGTAGAATTCATATAATGTATGTAAAAATTTCATAAAGATTCAATATTATAAACTCTAATGATTAGCACTTCCTCACAAAGAACAAAATCCAGTAAACCAAAAAACAGTTGATGATAAAACATTTACTCTTCAGCAACGGATTCACCGCCCTACTAGTTGTACTTCCTTGCATACCGCTGGTTCCTCAAGAACTTATGATCCATCTGCATTCACAACCATAAAACTCTCCATCATTAACTAAAAACAAGGATTTATGAAACATCTATTTTCAGGTTTTGAAGCCAATTTACTAATTGAGATGTTAAATAGAGATCTTTACATTGAACACAATCTACTACACAATTCTATTGATCGTTGCTTTGTTTTATTCAAACATGACAATGAAAAAAATTACAACATGAAAATACACAAATACAGACATAAGATGGAATAGTTTTCTCTTTTCTGACAATCACCACACAACA